ATGATTGGTGCACCCCGCGAAATCATGGACTCTATGTCGTTAAAGACACCCACACCCACGCATGAAGTCCTCACTACCCTGATGACAACAGTAGCAGCCATCTTCAATACTCCATCGGTGGTTCCAGATACCTCAGTTCCTGAGTATCCTGAGTCTTCAGTTCCAGCTGTTGTTCCTGATCCTTCAGTTCCAGCTGTTGTTCCTGATCCTTCAGTTCCAGCTGTTGTTCCTGATTCTTCAGTTCCAGCTGTGGTTCCTGATTCTTCAGATCCAGCTGTTCCTGAGTATCCAGCTGTTCCTGTTTTTCCAGATCCAGCTGTTCCTGTGTTTCCAGATCCAGCTGTTCCTATGTTTCCAGATCCAGCTATTCCTGTTTTTCCAGGCTCTTCAGTTCCTGAGTATCCTGTGAACCCAGTTCCCTTTGTTCCTGAGAAGCTTTGGGTTCCAGTTTTTCTGTTCCAGATTTGGTTTCAGTTTCCTTTACAGGAAGAAGACCTTGTCTCACTTAGAGACAAGAACGTATACCAGAACTATTGGCCCATGAGACTTGCGCACCGGGCCCACCCAGTCGATGAATTACTTTACCAAGCTGAAGTCCAGATCATGAAGCCATGTGAGTCAGGTCGTGACTCAAAGACACTTGTACCAGGCTGATCACCAATTGCTGATGAAGACTGAACCAGAAGACCGTTGCTGATGAAGACTGAACCAGAAGATCAAACCTCAAATTATGTATTGTGTTTATGCATTGTTTGATGTAACACTTGCTTATTTTTTGCATAATTGTGCATGCTTTATATTTACCAATAGTTATGCATGTTTGATACCAAGTTTTTACCTATTTAGTCACAATGTGTATTGCATGCCTTAATGCTATATTTTTGCTATTCAGTTAGTAAGTAGTGGAAATATAAATTTCCAGACGGGGAGTATTCTGGACCATATGTAACCTTGTATAGCTCTATGTAACCCTAACTGGAGAGCACGTATCAGTATGTTAGTAATAGGTCAGTGGGAGGAGTTTCAAAAGGGCATTGGGAGACTTCCTGGACACAAGCCAGATTGGAAGGTCTTTGTCTGAAAGAAGCATGGCCCATCAGATGTTACCCGATGAGCCTGTACTGCTATAAAGATGGTATGGAGAGACAGAGCTTCATCTTTTTACCGATAGAAATGAACAAGAGATGTAATATCGGAGGCAATCATCATAAAAGCAAGTAACCTATCTGATTAAAATATATTTCTTGTTATGAAATCATTTCTTTGTGTTATCTATCTGACTGGATTTAAAAGAAGGCGTTTTTAATTCCGAGTCAGAATAGAAGGGATACCCATTGTCTGAAGCCACCTGGGTGAAATCCAGTGAAGTAAAGGCTAACAGATTGGTCAAAAGGTTTCATGTGAAACACCCCAACAAACCGAAAGATAACCCTTAACATATGCTTTTGTTTGCTTTACAGGATCTGTCCTTTTTATAAGGGGGGCCGGATGTCAACGCTGCAAATACTGTATATTCTTGCTTTGACAATATGCAGAACTGTCTGGTACTTTTAGAGTTAAATCAGGCAACAGGGAAAGGGGAGGAGAATATAAGGAAAGCCTGGGAAAAAGGACTCGGAAGTGAATCTTTGCCCTCCAAGTTAATTGGAAGATGTGAATCATGACCCCAAAATAGGGGAGGGAAAAGTGCCTGGAATGTTATGTGCAAAGGAAGGGAAAATCAGATCTTAGCATTCCACCATGCCGTACTGACATCTCTGTAACCTTAATAAAGGCTTTTAGGTTAAAAAAAATGCCTGAAAGTTCTTTGAAGTGTTTCGTTAATCAGACACATGACAATTTATTTGCTATGTATATGTAGGGGTGTGGGTCTATACATATGTTGTACATAGTATGTTTTAGATATGTGTCATGTATGTGTTTCACTTTGAGAGCGGGCAACTAAATTTCATTTTTGATGTGTGCCATTATGCCCACAGTAAAAAAATGACAATAAAGGTTATCTTATCTTATCAGAAGTTATTTTAAGTCCAAGGCATCAAAGTAAAGTCCACCATGTTCACCAGCCTCTTTAATTTGGCTCGGATACTCAAGCACCTCCCCTTGAATCCACAAAAAGGAAAAGGCAGATTGCAGACAGAGGAAGCCTCTTTTAGGCAGAAAAGGTAAATATGCAAAGACCACTGTCTAAGAAGCGGAGACAGATTATTTTTGTCCATATTAGATCGGCTGACTCCTCCACAGTGAACTTGTGTCTTGGTTGCCCAGCCCCCAGCTAGAGACTCACTGGATCACTTCTTCTTCCAGAAGCTTTCTGAGAGCATCCAGCTGCCCAGGGGAGCAAAAGGGTTAATTTCCAAAACTTCCCTTTTCTCCAGGGGGGTTTCTTCTGCCTTAGAAAACTGTGGGGGAGTCTGTAGCAATCTTAAAAATTTGTGACCTTCAAACCTGATGACTTCCCCGGGAAGTGGAGCGCCACGAAGCCAAGCTGTTCCACTGATAAATTGTCCTCACTGTTAGGAAGTTTCTCCTTAATTCCAAGTTGTTTCTCTCTTTGATCACTTTCCAACCATTGTTTCTTGTCCTGCCCTCTTATACTTTGGAGAATAATTTGACCCCCTCTTCTTTGTTGCAACCCTTCAAATACTGGAATACTACTATCATGTCACCCCTATTTCTTCTTTTCTTTAGACTAGCCAAACCCAAGTCCTGCAGCCATTCTTCATATGTTTTAGTCTCCAGCATCTTAATTGCTCTTCTCTGAATTTTTTCCAAGTCTCAACATCTTTTTTGTAGTATGGTGTCCAAAATTGGTTGCAATTTTCCAGGTGTGGTCTTACTAGGGTTTTATAAAGAGGTACTAATACTTCACATGATCTTGATTCTATGCCTCTGTTTATACAACCCAGAATTGTATTTGCTTGTTTGCTGCTGCACACTGCTGGCTCATATAATGTAATTATATTATGACTTGATCATCACTTGGCATGGGAAAGTGAGACTTTTCATTTCAACATGCTTGCCATCTTTTTTCTTTATTTTTATGTTTTATTGTAATTTCTATGATTGTTGCAAATCAGCCAGAATCATTGAGAGTCACTTGGGATACCGCTTTATAAATTATTAAATTATTATTAGCTTTACTTGTTTACCACACAAGCTGAAGTAACCTATACTCACTGTATTCAATTGGCCTTATCTTTCTTGATACTCAACTATCACTTTCAATAACAAAGTAGGCAAAAGGATTGTCTTATACAAAGATTTTTTTTACTTTTCAACAAACATTACTTGCCTTCAGCAAACCACCCTACCTATTTTTCTATCAGAATTTCATAACTTAAAAATTTATCTATCCAGTTTCCTCTCTTTGGTGAATAGTCTACCATGAGAAGATGTACAGTACCTATTTCTTTTATTTTGAACATTTATGTATATATTGCATTTGTTCGCTTCACAACTACTTTACAACTGATCACTTTAAACAGATGTCAAGTGTTTATCTTTTACTTACCTTTCTATGTCTATCTGTATCCCGAGATTTCTCCCTTAACCAATCAATGGTATGAAAGTCTTCATAAGTGCCAACATCAGGGAAAGGTTCATCCAAAAAATCCATCAGATTTCCAGAGCCATTCATATTTCCTGCATTAACCATATTAGAACCTATAAAATGACAAGCAAAGGAGCAGGTTGTGTGATCAGTATTAAGATATTAGCATTTCTTTTACATCATGCTTACATCATCATAGTAATTTCCTTGCAATACTATAAAGCATGCATTTAGGCCAGAAAAACCCAATGCACAGGTATAGTATAGGTGGTACCTTGCTCAATAGTAGTAACTGTGAGAGGGATCTCGGAGTCTTAGTGGACAATCACTTAAATATGAGCCAGCAGTATGTTGCTGTTGCTGCCAAAAAAGTCAACACGGTGCTAGGTTGCATTAACAGAGGAATAGAATCAAGATCATGTGAAGTGTTAATGCCACTTTACAATGTCTTGGTAAGGCCACACTTGGAATACGGCATTCAGTTTTGGTCACCACGATATAAAAAAGATGTTGAGACTCTAGAAAGAGTACAGAGAAGAGCAACAAAGATGATTAGGGGACTGGAGGCTAAAACATATAAGGAACGGTTGCTGGAATTGTTTAATGAAGAGAAGGGCTAAGGGTGACATGATAGCAGTGTTCCAATATCTCAGGGGTTGCCACAAAGAAGAGGGAGTCAAGCTATTCTGTAAAGCACCTGAAGGCAGGACAAGAAGCAATGGATGGAAACTAATCAAAGAGAGAAGCAACCTAGAACAAAGGAGAGATTTCCTGACAGTGAAGACAATCAGTGGAACAGCTTGCCTTCAGAAATCTGCGGAAGTCATCAGCTTTGAAGGTCGCAATTAATTAACCAGTGGAACAACCTGCCTCCAGGAGTTGTGAATGCTCCAACACTGGAAGTTTTTAAGAAGAGACTGGACAGCCATTTGTCTGAAATGGTATAGGTTTCCTGCCTGAGCAGGGATTGGACTAGATCAGGGCTTTTCAACCAGTGGTACGGGTACCACCTGTGGTACATTGGCACCTGGCAGGTGGTACGCGGCCATCCTAGAAAAGTGGTAGTGGGGGAAGGGAATGAGCTGAACCGGTGGCAGCACCGCACAAGCCTGAGCGAGAGATGGCTGGAGCTGCAGGGCTGTCAGGGCTCGGCGGAAGCACCAGGATCAGCGCCAGGCTCCAGCTGGAGCTCGGTGCTGATCCTGATGCTTCTGCTGAGCCCTGAAGAAGCATCGATCAGCTGGAATGTTGCAGCATCTCCAGGGTCTTGTGATTTACATTCAGATGCTTGGCAATTGATTCATATTTATGGCAGTCACAGTGTTCCAGGGTCATGTGAAGTGACCAAAACCTGCTGCAACCACCCAGCAGACGGGGGGAATAAAAACCAAACACCCCCCCACCCCCGCTGTAAATCCTCAACAGAAATGCTCACAACAATGAAAACCTCGGACAGGGAGGAAGAGCACCACTGGGTGGGCAGGCAGATGTCTTGCTCAGCTGTGGCTTGGGGGGCACTTTTTCAGTGCCATTGTAACTTCGATCAGTCACTAAGTGAACCTTTGCAAATCAAGGACTACCTGTATTTTATCACTTTTTTCCTTTTTTTTTTTTTTTTGGTCCTCAAGTTTTTGACACCTTGCTAGGCGACTGGTGATACTTGGATATTGCCATATCCTAAAATTGGTACAATGGGTGAAAAGGTTGAAAAGCCCTGTTCTAAGAATTTCCAATAGGAGAAAGACACATACTGTAAGAAAAGGCCAAAGCTGTTTTTAATTCATGCTAAAATTGTTGGGAAGTTGTATATTTTAGTGGCTTTTCTGATCAGCATGTGTGCACAAATTGTATTTCACATTTTGCAACTTTAAGCATTTTAAAGCAAGTCTAAGTATATGTTAATTTTACATAATAAGATCCTATTGAGAAGAAATATGGGACCAAAAAGTTCCATTTGGTTTTTGAGTGAATTTTAGAGTATTATTGTTGTTATATAGTTATACAGTTTATTCATCTTTATTTTTAATTATTAATATGATATTATTATTATTGTGTCTAATCTTAGTATATTTTATGTTACAAAAAGAGTTAAAGGATTTTACAGACTTGTTATTCTAATAATTGATTAATGTTAGTTAGAATATGATTATCTTATTGTTAATCCTGTGATTAGCTCTGGGAAGTGGGGGGGAGGGAGTCGGGAGGGGGAGGGAGGGTTTTGGAGAGGGGGGTAATTATATTGTAAAACCTTTATAAAACTTTTAATAATAAGATCCTAAAGATAATTTTAGGGCAGCTTGAAAACTAAACCATATACCATATATGATGATGCCTCATAAAGGGTTCTGTACTTTTGCTAGATAATCTAAGGGTAAAAACTCAGCCCAATATTAATGGTATTAACAATTTTCTCTGTCTTCTGTTTATTTCAAAATCTTCTTAAATAAAAAAAGCACAGTTCAAACCATAACTAATTCTTGTTCCAACACTGTTGGAGATTTCTTCTACACTTTGCATTAAGTATATGTCTTTCTATGTCAGTACAGAGACTGAAAAAAATGTTTTTTTTTATCTTTTTCAACTGGTACTTTTGCAGTCCCATAAGTCACACAGTAGCAGTAGAATAGTTTGTTTTTCTTAGCATATCCTAGTGAAAAGCCTGCTTGAATTAAAATAGTTGGAGCTATTAAACCATCAAACATCATATTAAATGTTAATTCTATGGAATAGGGCCACAATGAGAATGCCTTATTTTCAGTATCTGCCAACTGAAAATTAAATTAGAATATGCATTCACTTGAATCACTATTTAGGATTTTAAAAGTCAACTACAATTCCTAAATTTGGGTCTAAGCACACATGTAACCTGCCTGCCTAACTGTCTAACATAGTTCACTGAAGAGCCCTCAAAATAATTTCGACTAACAAGGGATATCATATATGGAATGTATTATATTTTATTCAGCTATGCTTAACAACACTTGTCAGTTTACAAACAATGCTTTTTCAGAAAGATAGGAAACTGGTCTATCTCAAGTTAGGTAGTATGGTATATCTTATATTGGCAGTGACTTTTCAAACTGTTACATGGGAACAGGTTGGGTTTTTTCCCCCCAGCCTTAACTAGCACGCTAGCTATCAAGCTAATTGTTGAACCTTCCTTGCAGTTATGGAAATTTTCCATTCTTTTTAAATTACAATAACATAACACTAAATAGAAAATCAATCCACAGGAAAGTTCAGAAAACTTATTAAATGGTATGAAGTAAAACAAATCAAAGTGTTTTTTTTTCAATATAAAGATAATGCTGCTTTTATTATTCCTGCTGTTTTACTGTTTATTCAATGTCTTTGTGGACTTATTAAAGCATTGTTGCTCCTGAGTGGTTACATCAAATTAATGATTGTGTAAATAATTGTGTAATTTTACAGACCGAGTTATTGTGGAATTCCTTAAAGAATTTTTTTCTTAAATAACATATTAAATGTTTCAGACATGTGTTTAAAAATAAACACAATTTTTGTTTGTCAACTAACCCAAATTATCTTCTTTGCCATGCAGTCTACAGCATACAAAACAGTAATCCTTCCTTGTGTGCAGGTGAATGAAAATTGTAACTACACAAGGTAATATTGTGATTGAGAGCAATCCTAGGCTTACATAGGATAATACAATATTTGTTATAAAAAGGAATTTGGCAGGAGGGACAGATGGGTCTATCCAATATTAGACAATAGAACATTTTTGGGAAAAAATGAAAAATGTTTTTTAAATCTGTGATTTAAGATTTTTAAATGATTAGTTTGAATTTCACTCTGCTTGAAATCTTAAACCACAGAAGGTTTTTGGAGAGAAAATAAAGCATAATCATTTTTTGCTTGCAGTAGAAAATTTCAGTGCTCAGAGTTGTACAGCTGAACATTCTGTTTTGACAAAATAGACAAAATTATTAGAGAACTGCCCGCCATTTTAACTGAACCACAAGTAATACTTTCTCTTTATGCAAAGATAGATTTCACCATGGCCTTTTGAACGGTACAGAAATTGAGATCTCTTATTACTTTCTTGCAGTTATTCTTTATTCAATTCATTCTATCAAATACTAGGTTATGTATTACCCCATTCTTCAACACATTGTAAAAATATCCCTAAGAATCTTAAAGTATTTTCTTTCACATAAACTAACCATGGAACACACTTACCCACTACAAGGAAAAAATAAGAAAATAGGCAATTTAACAGTTCCTTAGGCAAGCCATTCAACTGAAGGTTTTTTTCCCAGCAAGCTCCCCAAGAACAAATGAAACTGAATTTCCACATGATTTACGCCAGAAATTTAGAGTTATGTTCCCTTTAAAACAAATATTCTCTGATACCCTGATATGTTGCAAAGAGCCAATTCATGTATCTGAACACAAATGTTTCATTCCTGCCGTTTGGATAGAATGAAAATACAGCTTCACGCATACTAAAAAGGTCAGATAATAGGCACTGACAATTGTTTGTCTTTGGCAGCTTTAAAACCCCATTTGATAGCATTATTTTTGAACTTCTCATCTGAATGTTTGAAGACACATCAAACAGCCTCTGCACCTGCCAGCTTCTGATTTGTAGAGGCCTATTATAATTAGGATTTATTTTTAAAGCTTTCCTTTGATAATGGTTAATTTCACAACAATACCCATGAAAAGCTTAAAAAATAACAGAACAGACCAAGGTCTTCTCTTACCCGCAATGCAACATCATTTAGTTCTGCTCCAAAGATCCTGACAGCATCTTTTCTTCGCTGGTATATCTGCAAAGGCAATGATGTCATATAGAGGAAACAGCTAGTCACATGACCGCATGCCACATTGGAGAACTGCTAGAGAGGCAGGCAGACAGGCAGGAACTAAGCAGGTTAACAAATGCTCCTATGGCTTCAGAGCTGACTGCAGAGAAAGGAAAGGAAGGAAGGAAGGAAGGAAGGAAGGAAGGAAGGAAGGCTTTTCAGTTAAAAAGTAGAACAGAACAATTCAATTTTGTTTGTTTAAATAATAGAACAGTGGTTATAAAACTAAGTGGTACTTTATTTAGGAATTATTCATGACGCTCCAGGAACAAATGCAAAAAAGAGAAATAAAATTATTTTCCTACGATTTTATAGAACCATAGAATTGTAGGACTTGAAGGAACTCTGGAGGTCTTCTAGTCTAACCCCCTGCCCAAGGCAACAGTCCTTACACCAAATGGTTGTCGAATCCTTTATTGAAAACCTCCAGCAATAGAGAACCTGTAACTCTGGGAGGCAAACTGTTCCATTGATTAGCTGTCAGGAAATTTGTCCTTATTTCCAGGTTGGATCTCCCCCTTGTGAGCTTCCACCCATTGCTTCTTGTCATGCCGTCAGATGCTATGGAGAATAAATCAACCCATTCTTCTCTGTGGCAGTCCCTGAAGTACTGAAGACTGCTATTACGTCTCCCCTAAGACATTTTTTTGTTAGGCTAAATGTACCTACTTATCTTAGCCATTCATCTCACAATTTTGCCTTCAGAGCCTTTATCATCTTTGTTGCTCTTCTCTGCACTCTTTCTAGAGCCTCATAATAGTTTTGGTATTGTGGTGACTGGAACTGGACACAGTATTTCAAAGTGGCCTCACTAATTCAGTATAGACTAATGCTATCACTTCCTGTGATCTTAACGCTATCCCTCTGTTGATGCAGCTTAAGGCTGTGTTGGCTTTTTTTGGCAGTTGCAGCATATTGCTCATACTTAAATGATAACATCCCTCTCACAGGCATTACTGTTGAGCTATCCTATACTTGTGCATTTGTTTTTTCCTGCCTAAATACCTTACTTTTCTTACCACTGAACTGCACCCAATGTTCTTCTGTCAAAATCCTTCTGAATCTTGAGTTTATTTTTCAAAGTGTTGGCAATTCCCTCCAGCTTGGTGCCATCTACAAATTTGATGAGCACCCCTTCAATCCCCTCATATAGGTCATTTATTAAGATTTTGAAGAGCACTGGGGCCAGGACAGAACTTTGAGGTACCCCATTGCATGCTTCCCTCCATGTAGATGTAGAACTACACACTCAATGTGTAGAGCAGTTGGTCAGCTAAGTGCAAATCCATTTGGTGCTGGTACTGTTTATCCCATATTGTTCTATCTTCCCAAGACGTAGACTGTGGTCTTCTTTATCAAACATCTTACTGAAGACTAAATATACTAAATATACTATCTCCACAGCATTTCTTTGGTCCAATAAATTAGTTGCTTCATTAAAGACAATAAGGTTTGTTTGATATGCCATTTTTTAACAAACTCATGCTGACTTCTAGAGATCACCGTGTTCATTTCTAAGTGCTGACAAATATGCTGCTTGATTAGCTTTTACAGGATTTTTTCAGGTATTGATAGTTTATATTTAAAAAGATGGTTGTAGTATCTTAACAATTGTCTTACATCATTTTTTTTCTGGACTACTATCACACTTGGGCTATTACGCATTTGGAAGTGGCAAAATTGTCACCACCGGGGACAGAGAGAAGTAGAATGCAAAATGTGCAGAACATTTGCAATAGCAGCCTTAGGAATGAAGGCAAATATATGTGTCCCAGGTTAATGTTGCAGGATCCAATCGGAGTCAATCACTGGGACCAAGGATTTATTCTTCCAAGTTTTCCAGCTTGTGCTGGAGCCCATCCATGGAGAAAGAAATTTCCCTGAGAATGCGCTCCAGCACGAGCCCGAAAGCTTGGAAGAATAAATCTTTCATCCCAGTGACTGACTCAGATTGGATCCTGCAATAGCAGCCTTAGTTTATGGGGTCCATGGAAAACTGATGTGGTATTTGATTTTTTTCCCCATTTAATTAAAGCAAACAACAAAGAGTTAAATTCTGTTCTTCATCAAATAAGTTTATGATAAATACTTCATATTCATGTAAGTTTGGAAGGAGTCTCAAGTGGATAACCTATTTCTACAACCACCATCAGTTGTTTAGCCTACACCTCTGCAGATATTTTGAACAATTATTTTTACCATAACTAAGCTGAAATATGTAAACTTAGGGAAGCAAAAGCATGACTCAGCGTATAAAAGGAGAACATTGGATACACCTCTCATGTGCCAAAGTATAGCTCTGCAGTAGTTCAGGAACAAGTTTTATGTGTGAGAAATGTCCCTTTATTTTCTTCATATTTTTATCTTCTATTTCAAGAACTGGCAACCTAATATGCTAAGCATAATGATTAAACTCACAGTCATTGTACTACAAACTTCTGGAAAGCACCAGTTTTGATTGTCCCTGCATAGAAAGCACATGTAGATGTCCAAAAGTTGCTGACCAAGATATTTTTTCTATACGGAATGTATTAGAGTCATCAAAGCTGTGGTTTCCTGATGGCTAAGAGGCTTTTTCAACACTTGGGGGTGAGGAGCACCACTACCTGCATACCTGAAGCACAAAAAATCATATATACCCAACCACGCATTTGCAAATCTATTCCGTAATTCTGCACAGCTGTGCACATATACAGGTATTGCAAAAATCAGACTAAGGCTACAATGCACTTACTTGTATTTTAACATGTTAAAGATGAGTGGAGATATTTTCATTCTGGGACCTTTTAGAAAATACTTTTAAATAGATTCAACTTAACATGCAAAAAAAAATCCCTTGATGCAAAAATAAAAAATTGATGTATTACCATTGACTCTCAGTGATTGAGTCTTCAGATACTGTAGCTTTAAAGGTTATATGTGTTTTTGTGGACTGCCGGCACTTTTGAATAGCATTTTTGAAAAACTAAATAATTTACATACATTTAAAAATAATTTCCAAATGGTTTGTCTGTCTACGTACAAAGGATTCATGCCTGAACTCTGATAATAGTCCAGATAATCTGATTCATCTAGGGCACTCTGTAGTTGATCTCTCACCTTTGTTTTGTTAACCAAGAACAGTTGGAGAACTCTTTGGATCCAGAGGCCTATTAAAGGAATCCAACAGCTTCCTTTAAGGCTTCTAGCCATAACCTGTCTCACAAGGAACTGTTGTCAATATTCCAGATCCACAGAATAACTCCCCTCCAACATACCAAAAAGCTATGAAGGACAAGGGTCCTCTAGACCACAGATGGCAGAGCTCATCCTGGTGAGTACCTTATCCATTTTCTCAGAAGTTACAGGGAGAAAAAAGTCCACATAACTTGGCAAGTGGTTGTCCCAATTACTACTATAGATCCTGTCCAAGTGAAGTCAAGACTCAAGTGAATCAGGACTTTACTAGTGATAACCAGTGGTAACTGGTCCTAGCAGCCAGGGGGAAGCTCTTGGAGCTGGCTCCTTTCCAGAAGAAAAGTTGTCATCCTAAAAAGTGTTCCAAGATGACAGACCAACATCCCCACCTTCACTCAGTAAGGTTTTGGTAATGCACTCCTGGTATGCCTGTTTATCACCATAGCTTTGTTACAGATATTGTGTTTACTAGCAACACCTTGAGGCCAATCCAATTACATGTCCCCCAGGATAGGGCTACTAGCTTGGGAGAAACAAACACCAAGTTTAAGATCACCCTTCCCCTGAAAAAGCCAAACCAGCAGGATACTGCCAGGTTATAACAGCTGCATTCTCCATCCTCTTATTACAATGTTCTTGCTCATATAACATGACCAGTGCTGGTATTTCCCTATTTACACTATACAGTAATTAGTTGTACAGTAGTTACGTTACATGGAGTCAGCAATCTGGCAAACTATTCAGCCACTTTTTAACCAAGCATTTCCCACATTCCACATAATACATCCCAATTCCCAATAACTTCCAAATACATTCTAATCCTATATTAAAGGTAGTTCTTCACTTATAATCAAATTGAGACCAGCATTTCCATTGCCAAGCAAGGCTGATGTTAAGTGGGTCTTGCCCAATTTTACAACTTTTTTGCCAGTTGTTAAGCAAATCACAGCATTTGTTAAGTGAATTACGCAGTTGTTAAACAACTCTGGCTTCTCCCATTGACTTTGCTTGTTGGAAACCACAAATAGTGATCATGTGACTCCAGAATGCTGCAACCATCATAAATACATGTCAGTTGCCAAGCACCTGGATTTTGATCATGTGACCATGAGGATGCTATGACAATCATAAATTCCTTCATCCCTACCTATACTTACCAATCAATTAAGGAATCCATAAATGGCTTTCATAAGGCAGAATGGCTGACATTATAAAAATGGATATGAGAGCATTATGCAGAAAGTATTTTATAAGCAATGTAACAACAATATATGTATATTACAAGATGTAATGTGTACTGTGGAATACAAACTATAAAAGTGTAATGTAGCTAATCCAAAACTAGTAAAAGCCTTTATAAGATCACTTGTTTTGCATTTTGCAAATTCATAATAACTGTATAAACATAAGCTAACATTGTGCTAGTTAACTGTAAAATAAATGCATAACATGAAGACTTTATAGCATATTTATATATTTTTATTAATATATAATAAAAATATTTATATATTTTTATTAATTTCACAGAATACTTTTCAAATACAAATGACAATCTTTCAGAAACAATGACAACATTAAGGAATGAACACAGTAGAGGATAACATACTATAATAGTATTAATGTGGGCAGTCATGTTCTTATTCCGCCCCAAACAAATACTGTATGTATACTGCATAGTGACTACAACTATTATCCACTAATATCTTTCTATTTGGGATTCGAAAACACATTTTCTGTCCAAATGCCATGTATTATACCATGTATTCCATCCATAATACATGCAGAAGCTGGTCATAATTGGACCTAAGAGATGGCAAAATATTTATACTGACTGCTTTCTATCACAAACGATTAGTACGACACAAGTAACAAGGCAGTGCTTCATATCAGAAATAATATTTTTTCTTCAGATTGGAGGAAAAA